AAAAACTCACCAAGTTTCTGTTGAAGGTCACCTAAATAAGACACAATGAGAAAGAAAAACACACTGATTGAGTCTCTCAGTGGATGGACTTAACACCAGCCCTCTCAAGAGAAAAATCTATCCAAAGACTACAAAGGTATGGTCTACAAAGACCAGGTATCCCGGCTAGACACAGTGAGCTATGAGGTCCTAGGGCAGGATTCCTTTTCAAGGATATGGGCTGGCTTCAGAGCAGCATAAAGTTCCTCATGACCCCAGCTCCATGTGTGCTGGGCCGGAGGTCACTTGGTCATTACACTGACCCTGATATGAACATTGAAACCCTACACATCCCCTATATGAAAATCTGCACAGTCCATATCCTGATGACTGCACTCCTATGTTTCTGCTACACTGATACTTCACATCTGACCATGGGAAAGCATAACCATCATTTTATTTCACTGGACAAAGATTTTCCCTTTCACATGGGAAAGAGATGCTGCAGCATGTGCTAGCAACAAGGGTATTTTAGGGACTCTGCAAGGTTTGTATTATGCACACGGTAAAGCTGGTTTCACCATTTCTTAATGGGTATTATTTCCCATATAAGTTAGATTAAGGTATTAGAAGAAAGCTCCCTTACTAAATAGAGTATAACCACCCTTAGAAAACTTACGCTTTATCTTGAGGAGATATACAGTCAAGAGAATAAAGCAGAATAATACCACTAGCATCACACACAGTGCCACCATCCAGGGATTCACCTTTGGGAAAAAGGGATCTGAAAAACAAAATGCCTGGGACTTCCATTAGTGTGCAACTAGTGACAAAAATCAAGTGTATTAATTCCACAGAAACATATAACTATTCTCCAACTATTTTCCAACTGGTTTTACCTGAGGGCAGAATGAGAGCACAATCTCTTCAGCACTCCTCAAAAACCAGAAACTGATTCTAAATATGCCTCTAACTGAACACGTCTGCACATTCATGAATGCGCCGAAATTACTGCGCATTACATTTAGTATCTGTGGGTGTCTGTACACGAATGTGGAGGCTTCTACAATGTGCTGGGGTCCCATGTGTCAGAGCAGACTTGATTATTGAGACTTCCCATAGGATAGGGAGAGTCAGGCACCTAGGAACATGATCCATAAATGCTACCAGCTAAAAGGTCAACTTGGTTTTGGGCCTAATCTGGAAAGTCATCTGGATTGGGCTCTGAAGGTGAAATGGGCAAGAGAATGTCCCATTTCTGAGTGCCTGCATCACTTAGGCAGTTCTTATTATGTCTAGCAGCAACGGTTTAGGCTCCTAGAGCCAAATCCTATGTCACTTCACCTGGCCAAAAGAGAGTTTTCCAGACCCGTAAGAGCCATTTCTGGTACTTACGCTTCATTTGAAGTGTTAGCAGTGGTGTGGTGTGGATGCAGAAACATCCACATAGCAAGTGCACATGCTCAGTAGGCTGCATTCTGGCCAGGCCGGTACATGGCAAAGTACATGCATACAATGTGTATTCATAATTCACAATATTATGTCCCCCAAAAAGTCTCTTGCTGGCAGCTTTTGACAGAGAATAAGGAGGGTTATCCTGTGTTTAAGACCCACTAGTTGATAGGTCAGTTCACTTGCCTGGAAAGAAAGAGACATGGATCCTAGGCCTGCCTCTCCAGATGGGGTTTGAAACAGCATCTCTTGTGACCTCCTAGCATAGTATGTAACCATACTGCGGCAAGTCACGTACTGATCCAGCCCACCTTTGGAAGTTGAGTCATTCTACTTTGTATTTACAATTCACTGGCTAGAAGAGATGGAGAGTAGTTGGAAAGATGGACTAGGTGTCAGCTTCTGTGGTCCCTTCCAGCCCTGTTTCTCTGGGTCTATGAGTCCATGACTTGAGATGATGGGCAGGGCTGCACACCCTTGAGGAGAGGAGAGCTGTGACATGGATCTTTGAATCAGAGGTGGTTATTAGATGTGCATTGCTCTACGTGCCGGCCTCCTCAGTCACATTTCTGCTGGTGGGGTTAATGCCTGAAGGAGACAAGCTAGAATGTGAATGATGTACAGCAGGGAACTGGCCGTGTCCTCCTGTCTTGATTTCTCTCATGGACAAAGTTCACAAGCCCTTACATGTATTATGTTCGGGGGGGTTGTGGAGCTCTCCAATATGGAGTCACAATTGCTAGGAAGCAA